GGTTTCCACTGGGTACAGTACCTGGTACCTGGTACTTTTTTTAGTACCACCTCGGTTGAGGTTCCAAGTGAACCGTACCGTTACCAAAACGTGACGTGTAAACTCTGCTGATCACGGATTGGCCGGAGAGAATCGTCACTACCTGCGTCACTGAACTTGCGACACAAACACAACAGAACCGCTAGATTTAAATCAGTGCGGCCGGCGAAGGATCGAACGTAACTGTTTTGAATGAGCGCACCTTTTTTTAACAACCAAAAAGTTTTGTTGTCTGTTGCTGAAGTACAGACGTTCCTCTCGTTGATAGCAGAGGAGCGGATCCAGCGAGAGCTTGATGGGGCGACGCGGAATGAAAAAGCTTTTTTAGGAGTCGTGGTAGTAGAGGCGGCGCAACTATAACGTCATGTGAATAATCCCGCCCACTCTAAAGCGGTACTGAACTGCAGTGGAAACGCAAACCGTGCTGAGCCGAGTCGTACCATGCAGTGGAAAAGCGCCATTATTGTGTTTTTATGTTTTGTTTTGTTTTATGAGAGGCTTGATGACTGCCAGCTTGAAAGAATTTGGGACGTGTCCTAAAGAAAACAAAGAGTTAACAATATATAATATAAGGTTCTGAGATTACAGGTTACAGTAACTTTGTGGGTATAGGATCTAGCAGACACGTGGTTGTGTTTGATGCTTTACATGTCTAAATGTTTTTTAGTTTGTAGTTTCATTCACAAAAAATCCCTTAACATGCACATGAAAGTTCACACCGGAGTGAAGCCTTTCACCTGCCAACCGTGTGGAAGCTGTTTCAGTCACAAAAAAACCCTTAACAGTCACATGAAAATTCACACCAGAGTGAAGCCTTTCGCCTGCCAACAGTGTGGAAGAAGTTTCAGTCACAAAAATTCCCTTAACAGTCACATGAAAATTCACACCAGAGTGGAGTCTTTCGCCTGCCATCAGTGTGGAAAGAGTTTCAGTCTCAAACAAACCCTTAACAGGCACATGAAAATTCACACCAGAGTGAAGCCTTTCGCCTGCCAACAGTGTGGAAAGAGTTTCTCTGACAGAACAAAGCTTGATGCCCACATGAGTGTTCACACTGGAGAGAGACCTTTCTCCTGCTCTCAGTGTGGAAAGAGTTTTACACTGAAAAAAATCCTTAATGCCCACATGAGTATTCACACTGGACAGTGCCTGTACACCTGCAAACTGTGTGGGAAGAGTTTCTCACGAAAAGGAAATCTTAAGACTCACATGAGAACTCACACTGGAGAAAAGCCATTCACATGCTCTCAGTGTGAAAAGAGTTACACGCACAAAAAAAGCCTTAATGTCCACATGCAATATCATACTATGAGATTTAAAGAAAACCTTAACCATTCCATTCACACAAGAGTGAACGGTTTTATATGTCATCAGTGTAGAAGGAGCTTCAAAGACAGAAAATGCCTTAAGAATCATGTAAAAACTCACGCTGGAGAGAAGCCTTTCATGTGCGATCACTGTGGAAAGTCTTGCGCAAACAAAGCGTACCTTGAGAATCACGTAAGAGTTCACACTGGAGAGAAGCCATTCATCTGCCCTCAGTGTGGAAAGAGTTTCCCGTTCAAAGGAAACCTGAAGAATCACGTAAGAGCTCACACTGGAGAGAGGCCTTACAAGTGTCTTCAGTGTGAGAAGACTTTCATGTATATCTCAGGCCTTAAACGTCATTTACAGACTTGCGCCTGTTTCACACCTCAAGCTTAAGCTTCACGTCAGCGTCACTGCAGCTGCAGACTCGTGAAAGTATTCACTAGGGATGTGCGGGTCTAGTTGACTAAACGGTACAGCTCCTACTAGTAGACACTGAAAACAATAGTCGATTACACGAGAGAGAAAAAATAGGACTTGCTTGTCGTTATCTTTGCGTGACTCCGACTTCAGTTCCTGGGCAGGAATAACTGTTAATCACCTCAGGTCCCGTCTTTCACCGGACCACGCTGATTGTTAATTTCACTGCACATATACGCATGGTCTGAGAAAGTAAAATGGGTATTGTTGCATCGTTTTGTTTTTAGATGATATAGCCTACTACATGAAGTACGTTTTTAAAAACCGTTTTAATGCTGTTCCTTGATAAACTTTCCTATCGTTTTTGACTTTTTGTGTTTTTTAATATGTTGGCTAGATGAAGAACTCTGTCTGTCTATAGAGCTCCGGAGGTTGACGTCACGCAATCTAAACTCCCATCAGGAGAGCGCTAGAGCGGCTGTAGCATTGGTATCGACAGTGGTTGAACAATAATTTAAAACCAGAATATTTAAATCTTACAAATCTTACTATTTCAACATGGTGGACAGCTGCTGATGCCAGAACAGGCGGGGGAAAGCTAGGGTTGCCAACCGTCCCGTATTAGCCGGGACGTCCCGTATATTGGGTTTAATTTATGTGTCCCATACGTGACCTCCCTTGGCCCGTTTCTTGCCCCCTCACGCAGTATTCGTTAAGTTAATAAGAAATCCTGAATCCTCTGCCGGCTGGTCGCTCCCGCTTCACAGCAAGCAGCGCTCGCAATAAAGCTAATACCATCCGTATTTTCACTTCAGTACATCAGTTTTGGCAAATACAAACAACGTGATTATTTTCAATGTGAGTCCAACATCCAGCCGCGCAAGAAAACATACAATCTACCCGAGACATGTTCAATAAGGGAAGCCGTCTTTCACTATTGCAAAATAGAGAAAAAAACATATGCATCAGAGCCAGCGGTAAATTCCAGAAGATCTGGCCGCGGTGAGGCTGCTCTCTCGGTGGGTTCATGAGCGCTGAACGGGCGCTGACGCCCTGGAGCTCACATCTCTGAAAACGGCGAAGCAAATTTTCAAATAGACGTTATCTTTATTAACAAACCATATATTTGAAGTCTAAACAAGTACATTCTCGCCTAAAAACTCTTAAAACTACACAAAAATCCGTGACACAAAAACAGTATTATTTTAACATTTTAGTGGATCTGTGTGTCCGCCAATATCTCACGGTTCTCAACCAATCAGATTTGAGAACTAGAACGAACTGTTGTGTATATATATATATTTATGCACGATTGTCCATAAAGCTAAGGGGACATCATTTTATCGTATTCCTAAGGATCCCGATAGACGACTAAAATGGTTCACTGCAATAAAACTCAAAAATTTTCAACACAAAATTTGGGATTAAACGGTTTAAGATGTCTGCTGTACTCACAGTGGCTACCTACAAGGGCAGCTAGGGTCGATTACGTTAGCTAACAACACAGTTGACTTACCCTTCCAGTGACGACAAAGCAGGTTTTAGCCGGCAGACTCCAAAGTTGAATATTCGTCAAAAAATTTGATTGCGTCCATTTGTACCCCTCCAGGCCTTTGTGGGCTTTATAAAGAGTCTCCAGAGTAGGATGAGGTAATGTTAGTTGTAGATATCAGGATACTGCAGGTCAGGAAAGCTATCCGTTCCTTTATTGATACCCAGACAGCAACATAGTGTTGGCCCAGATCCGGCCCACATCTGGCCCATGTGAAATCCATGCGTGCCGGATCTGGGCCGAAACTGTCTGCTGTCTGGGTATGTATGTTAAAAGCACCCGGGGGCCTCATAGGGATCTGTTATGTTTAATCTATTAAGTTTTGCTATGTACAGGTCTATGTCTTTTGAATTAAAGTGCGCAGTGTACTCTGTTGCCTTGAAACTCATGCATCGCGTATTTTTATTTTTTTCACGTGATGTCCGGAGCTCTATTGCCGCTTGCGGTGTGAAAGAAAGTGGAAAGAAAGTGCAGTGTTCCTCAGTGTGACTAAAGGTTTACAACACTGCGCAATATACATTCATTCTGAAGGACATCAGTTCATTTGTGAATTAAAGTGCGCAGTGTACTCTGTTGCCTTGAAACTCATGCATCGCTTATTTGTATTTTTTTCACGTGATGTCTGGAGCTCTATTGCCGCTTGCGGTGTGAAACCGGCCTTATTCTGGAAAGAAAGTGCAGTGATCACAAATGAACTGATGTCCTTCAGAATGAATGCATATGGCTCAGTGTAATATTTTTGTTCTTTTGCCATCACTCTTAACAGATGCATATGAAAAGACATATAAAAGTGAGACCCTGTTTGTGTTTCTTGTGAAATAGTAAAGCAACAGGAAATTAAGGCTCTGTTCACACCACAGCTGAATGTGGGCTACATCTGATTACATCTGTTCACTTTCACGACCACTTCTTTCATTTGCATCCTTCACTTCTTTATACTTCTTCAGCTAATTTTAGTTACAAATAAAAGGACATAAACTTATAATGAACTCTGCACTGTGTTATATGATTTCAATGATCATGTAAACATGTTTTTTTTTTCATCTGCCATATTCAAGTCTAGACTGACAACATATTTCAGCAGTGTAATTCACATAATTCACCACAGGAGGCCATTCAAATATAATTTTTAATGCATATTGAAATATAAGAATACATATTAACTTGACAGAATGTTGATGGAAGGCAATCTTTAAGTTTCATATTCTGCTTTCATTGGTAGTTATTTTCAGAACATCACTGGACAACATATATAAACTTTACCATATAAAACTTTTTCTGTACATTTTTTATGCACTATTTAGGACTTTTATTTTGTTCTGATGGTGTCTGGGGGTAAGCAGATAAACATCACATATTCATTTTTGGGTGAACTATCCCTTTAAGTTTTGTAGAATTTCATTTACTTTGATTTACCGTGAAAACGGTGTCGCGTGCTGCTGCTTCAGCCATAGATTATCCAAATAAAAGTGTTCAACAAGCAGAAGTCGATCAATTTTTCAACAAATGACAACTAAAATTAAACCCCTTGAAGCTTTTGAACAGTTTTGTAGCATTTTAAAATGCTAGTTTAATGTAGTAAGACCAGAATATTAACAGAACTTGTTTAATTACACATTAAGCGTTTTCCTCCCTTTAGAAAATCGTAATGAAGAGGTTCCGGTTATGGCGCTAGACGTGCATGCGGTTCACTCTCGTAAACTTTTCGGTTTTGTCTTATAAATATAGTTTGGGAAGAAGGAGGCGGCAACTCTCTCGCAGAGTGCTAGCATTACGCTAGCCGAGATCACTGCTTTACATGACGATCTTAGAGCCTCAGTCGCCGCAGACTTCAAAGCATCTTTCGAAAGTTTTGCAGCCAAACTAGATAGCATTCAATCCACAGTGGCTGACCATGATCTGCGCATCGGTAATCTTGAGTCCGGCACTACAGTAGGTGCGTCCCAAATCACGTACTTATGCACTATTCTTTGACGTTTTGTAGTATAAATAGTGCGAGTAGTGCGTTCACACTGAAAATTCCAAAAAGAAAAAGTGCACTTTAAATACCCGGATGATGCACTTAAATAACCGAAAAAACAAAGTGTGGAAAGTTGGACACTTCGTGTACTCAACTGTCGCAGCTTTAATTATACGTACCGAAGGGGGAGGGGCTATCAGACTCCGATTATGAATGACAGAATAACCTTATATAATTCATACGATACATGGTTGAGTACATAGTGCATAAGTACATAGTGTGTTAGTGTATAGTGCGTCATTTGGGATGCAGCTAGAGATTAGTCAGCCGCTTGAACAACTCGAAGCTACATGTTCGGCGCTCCAGAAAGATAATGAGTGGCAACCCCTTAACTGTCACCGTCCCACCTGTGGGACGTTTGGCACTCTTTTTTTTTGTTGTCCTTTTTCTCTGTGAAATCTTTTAGTAATCATCATAAATTATATTGAAAACCATTTTGAAATCGGACATTGTGTTACCATGGAAATGGTACTTTAAAATCTTTTGGCGGTCTCCTCCCCCTTAGTGGGCGCGGTCAAGTGTCATATTACCAAATGTATTACGGTATTTTACAATCAAAACTTTTTATAATCTTGACAAAATACATATCATTGGAAAGGTCTGAGTCTCAGGATTCCATATTTGGTGGATAGAAGTAATATTGACAGAGAAATCTAGACATTTGTGACAGAAAAATGCATTAAAAAAATTCAATGGAGTTTTGATGGCACCCGGTGGCTGTTTGTGGTATAACGCCATAAATAAAATCTCACAGGAACCTCAATTTTTTTACTTTAACTTTAAATTTGATACATAACTTATTTAGACACAAGGCTTTAATTTTATACCAATTTTAGAGTAAAACCTGTTATGTAAAATATTTACTATATATAAAATAAAATAAAATGAGTATAGCGCATTTTCTTTACAGTAAATGTAAACGTATATAACTTTTTGATACTTGAATTTTTTTTAAAAATTCCACTTTTGCAATAATCTGATAAGCTGATTTTCTTCTTTAAAAAAATACCAACTTTAGGTCTGTATTCCAAAGTGTTCATAAATTACAACAATTTAAGTTTGGATAGTGCACTTTATTGCCTATTTAAAAAAATGGGGGGTGACAGTTAAGGGGTTAAGGCCAAAGTCTCAGATCTTGAGAGCCGCAGCCGACGCCAAAATATTCGAATATTTGTATCTTTGAGGATTACTGCCCTGAGGTTTTAAAGCTTTGCGCAGAGTATAAGGATGCCACTCTACAAACGCGGACTCAAGCCTGTGCTTCTCGACCCTGCTAGATTGCGAATCACGCTTCCAAACGGTGAGAAGAAATGGTTGCCTTCTGTTTCCGAAGCCAGTGACTTCACCCAGAGCTCAGTCTAGATGTAAGTGCGGTGGACTTGATTCTACTATGAGCAGCCTTGAATATTTTGGCCTTATTGTTCTATAGTATATGAAGGATATCCTGGGCTGTTGGCGCTGCGGATTTAAGACCTGACTGTTCGCTGAATCTGACAAAGTTGCTGTTATTTGGACATTTTTTCACAGTTGTCATGTTGGGGTTTTTGTGTGTGTGTGTGTGTGTGTGTGTGTGGCTATAAATGATGTGCACATGGATTTTAGTTTGGATGTACAATAAGCTCAGTCAGGTTTTATGATGCTGTGAGCTGTCTTGTTTATTCTTTGGCCTCCTGACTTGGGTGGTGAATTCTACATTGGACTGTATCTTAAAATTGATAAAGCCGAGTTGTTGACATCGCTTTGTTAAAGTCTTGCTTATTGTAAAGACCATTTGGTTCTAATTATAAATCTTAATATATCTATGGTTTGTTAATTTTGGGCATCTAGTGCTACAGCACCTTTAAATTCTGTGAAAAAATGTTTTTATATTTTATTTATTATTATTTTACCTATTTTCTCTCTCTCTTCTTTTCCCACAAATAGTTGGTACTCAGATTTTACATTAGTTTTGTTTTGAAGTCTAAGTCTGTCAGTAACTTTTGATATAAATATTTATTGAGGTTACGTACCATTTATGGAAGGACTAGGAGTTAGGGAACTTGCCTGCTGTTATGGTAAAGCGGTCCCAGCTGCTGTTCTTGTTGTCAGCTGGTGCAAGGGTGGGTTTAAGGGTTGTTGTTGTTTTTTTTTTGTGTGTGTGCAATCATTATTGTGGTGTTTTGTATCCTCAAATGCTACAAGCCATATTGTTGTTGGCCGGGCTGTGTGTGTGGGGTGGGGGGGGCATCTCAGAAACCTGGTCTTGTTCATAGTACTTGTTATCTAATGGCGCTTTTCCACTGCGTGGTATGACTCGGCTCGGCACATCACGTTTTGGTAATGGTACGGTTCACTTGGAACCCCAACCGAAGTCCAGTTCTCATCCATAAATCTGTTCCTTTTTCTGTTGCT